GCGGGAAGTGGGTACTTTTTTTTTTTTTTTTTTTTTTTTGAGAGAGAGAGATTTTTGCTATAGGGCACATGTACTCGCCAGAGAGACAGAAAGACAGAAAGCAAGAAATCATTCGCCCCTCCCACTCCCAACCCCAATGCCATTCCTTCTCTTCCATTCTTTTCTGGGGATTTGGGACATGCATGCACACATGCCCAGGGTGTTTTAAGCTGTCAGGTCTGGGACTTGAACCATCATTGACTATGTGGGAGTCCAGCAGCCTAACCAATATGCCATCTGCTGGACCTGACAGCTGGATACTTTTATTAATTCCTGTTATTAGCCAGTTCTGTGAAACTGAGCTTGAGAAAATAAGACTTACAGAATGGGCAAAATAAAAAGTGATAATGACTTCACAGAAAAAAATCTCAACCAGTTCAAATAGTTAATAACATTGTTCAGCTGATCCAACATCTCTTTCATCTTCTAATGAGCCCTAAGTATGGTATTCCATGACTTTCAGAATGGGAAGTTTTTTTTTATGTACGTGACCTCCAAGACACCTGAGTTCAAAGACTTCTTACCATAGTGCCACCTCCTGGCCAAATCTGAGAAGTGCCTTACAAATTAAAGAGCTTAAAGTTATTCCAACTTGGTATCTGCATATACAGAAGCAGAGCTAAGTTTGATGGCTTCTGTTCGTTATGTTTCTTCTAGAAGATAATCACAGCCTAAGCCAATTATTCTCTAAGGGAGCCACATGATATTAGAGATCACAGTAACTTTTGAAATGCCTGGGTATCCTTCCAATCATTCCTATAGATGCTCCTAGACAACCATGACTATCAGAGACATCTACAGACTCAGTTCATAACAACTGAAATGGTTGTGCTAATGTCTGTTTGCCCATTACATGCTGGGAAAATAGACCTACATGACTTTATTCTGAAAACCAGAACGTCAAGGGACAGAAGAAAAACCTATTTCCAAGAAGCCCCCTTCACCAGTGCAGTTAGTGAAGGTGGTATGCCAGGCAGCAGTGCCTGACAGAAATCCAGTTCTATGCAGGGATTGTCATTAAGCCTGGAGTGTGGCTGATAGGTCTAGTGCATAGAAACCATTTAAAACGTATAATGCCATTGGCAAGGACTTTAGGTGGCCTCTCCTTTGATTTTCAACCTGCCACCATCCCCCTCTCTGCCATATCTGCCATTTGTTAAGAGTCCACTGGACTTGCTCACAAACTCAGATATCTCTGCAACATTATCACCTTCCATTTCCATCCTTTGTTTTTTCCCTAACCATGACTCCATTCTACAGATGAAGAACTCTCTTGGCAAAAATGGCACATTTCTTCTGTATTATCACCTTTGTCTCCAACACAACATCAACCACTGCTATTTTTTTTCACAGTCTATCGCTTGGTGTTCAATTGCCTGGGTCACATCCATGGCCCCTTGTCCTGTCAGACTTAGCGTATTTTACGAAAATCGACTGAACACACCTGGTATGTACCTGACACTGAGTATACAGCAATAAACGAAGGTCATCATTGCTTTCACTGCCCGATCCCAGTTTTGAGCCTATTTACTGAGCCAGGTACTAAGCTGATAGATTTATGTAGATTTATATACATTTCTCGTTTAATATCTGAGACCTATAGGATTAATCTCTCTATTTTGCAGGTAAGGCAATTAAAGATTAGATAAGTAATTTCTCTGTGGTCACGCAGCTGGTAATTGGGAGACTTTATATTTAAACATCAATGTTCATGAATGCCATAAAATACTGTATTGGTCATTTTAACAAAGGCAATGTACTTTTTTTTTTTTTTGAGAAGTTTTTGCTATAGGGCGTGTGCACTCACCAGAAATACAGAGAGAGACAGAGAGACAGCAAGTGAGAAAACAAAGCCATTGTACTTCTTAGGAATAGGAATTAAGTTCAGCTTCTTCCTCCAGAATAGTGATTCCACCCTATCACACGCCATTTAAATGGGCTCAAGTTAGCTGCATACTTAAACGTTAGGTGAGCAAGAGCCCACTGGCTTAAATGGGTGGGATTTTACAGACTTCATCTTATGGCATCCATTCTGACCAACAACTCAGTTAATTGTGTTCTCCAGCTTCTGTGTGAGTCTGTATCATGTAACAACCCGTTTGAATAAGCTTGTGTGGCTAGACTAGCACTTTCCCTCAGATCTTGACATTTGTCCTGAGGCACTGTGCACCTTGATCGTAGCTCTGTCATACTCCAGATCCTCAGAACTGTGGGAGTGACTAGCCTAGCCAAGTGTTTGAGCAGCCTCCCCACCAGGAGAAGTACTGATCAGATGAAATTTTTATATAGTTTACTATTTCAAAAAAATCAGTCGTACTGAAAAATACTGGAGTAGTTTGCTTGAATTCTTTGTGTGACAGTCGTGTCAGAGAGGACTCCAGGACAAACTTTCATGTGTGTGTGTGTGTATGTGTGTGTGTGTGTGTGTGTGTGTGTGTGTGTGTGTGTGAGAGAGAGAGAGAGAAAGAGAGCGAGGGAGAGAGAAAGAGAACGCCTGGTTGTTACATTCCTCTGGCTTATACTGTTACTCAGATATTTTTATCCCCTGTTATGTTCCTTGCTATGTCAAATGCCTCCCCCATCCTCCCCACCCCTGCCTTCACCTCCAAGTCTTCTCCATAGCTAATCCTCCCAAGTCCATTCAACTTTTCTTATCTCAGTCTCCAGACTTATAACTATTTGGGTCATTATCTTCTAAATATTCTTTAGTTTGCCTAAATCTCTCCTTAAGTATGACATCCAGAATAGCACACAATCTTCTAGGACTTCAAAATGCATCTTTCTTTTAAACATTATTATGCAATATTACAGATAAAATGCAAAAAAAAAAGATGTTATAGAAAACACCTAGTACCTATCACCGAGTTTAAACAGTGTTTCAGCAAATACATGAATCTTCCTCTATAACATCCCCTTTAGCCTCCTTACTTATCTTTCAGAGGTAATAACTGGAAAGTACCCCTGCTATAATGAATAGAATGATCAGCACAGCTCATCATTCTGATGTATTTTTTATTCAACCAAAGACCATTTAAAAAAAATTTTTTTTTTAGGCAGGGCCTTGCTATGTCACGATCACCCTGACTCAGCCTCCAGAGTAGCCAGGATGACAGGCACACGTCACTGTGCCCAGATTTGGGGGTAGGTCAGGAACCCAACCCATGCCTCCCATAGTCTGCACTGTAGCAGCATCAACCAGTGTACACTAACACAACTGGACTGATCAGTTTCTTTCTTTTTATTTTCATTTTATTTTTTACAGTCAATCAGTATACATCATTTAGCTCGTAAAGAGAATTTACCCAACACGAATAAACTTCATGCCAGTCTAGTTCAGGATACTACACTATACATGCTATCATCAGCAGATAATAATCAATTTCTGTGTCCTTTAAATGTCTTGTCAGTTTCAATGATCCTTCATGCAGCCCATACCACCCCAGACAGGTAAAGAGCAATTTAGAGCAATAGCTCTTAATTTTTGTTTTCCATCTTTCATTATCATTCTTCTAAAAGATTTATTGTCTGTTTAGCTTAAATTCTTATAATTATCAATGAATAAAATTAAATTTCATGGTGATGACAGCAGAAATTGAGAAAACTTGTTTTCCATATTTGATGTAATCCTCTCATAATTTGAGAGGTTTTGTATCAATGATCTTGAATGTGATGTGTTTCCTTTAGTCTATGTTTTTATACTCTTTGTATTTACTGGCTCTTCTCATTTGTTTGTTTTCCTTTTTATTTTCCCCATTTGCTGAAGGTCACATGTGCTTACCAGAGATAGACAGAGAGGAGGTGAGAGAGAAGGTGCCTATCTAATGAATCACAATCCCTTCTCTTTCATTTCTCCATCCTGTTGGGACTTTGAGCATGCACACACATGCACTCAGCGTATTTTCTAAACCTCCAGGGCAGACACTTGAGCCAGGTGGTCAGTCAGGCATATAGACCAGCCAACCACTAGGCCACAGGGCCAGCCCTTTAAAACAAAAATGTATATAAATGCTCTCATTTGAGATCTAGTATTTCTGAAACTTATTTTCACCATCATGTTAATGAAGGCAACCATTTTGATTAGTATAGATACATGTCTATGTGTCTAGTAGGTGTATGTCTATTTACTTTTTAAAGAAGTAATTATTTTATTTAACTTTATTTTTTTAATTTGACTAAAGAAAGAGAGAAAGGAGAGAGAGAGAAAGCTGTCAAATCTGGGACACGAACCGTAGTTGGCCATGTGGGAGTCCAGCACCCTCAACCACCACTCCACTTGCTGGCCCCTATATATTATTTTATTTTATAACAGTTTACTTACAGATGAAAATTAGCTTGTTTCTAATAGTATATATATTTTTAAGTTTACATATTCATTTCTTTCTTGAGAGAGAAAGAGATATATAGAGCCTGGCAATCCCAATAGGATCTTTTTTTTTTTTAAGAAAGAATTATTTTATTTAACTTTATTTATTCATTTGTTTATTTATTTTAATTGGACCAGAGAGGGATAGAGTGAGAGAGGGAGAAAGAGGGAAAGTGAGAAAGTAAGCTGCCAGGTCCGGGACTTGAACTACAGTCAGCCATGTGAGAATCCAGTGCCCTTAACCACTATGCCCCTGCTGACCCCCCAATAGGATCTTTATACTGCAATCCACACCCAGTCTTGGTAGACCCAGACACATGAGCATATTGCTAGCTCAGAAAAGTCCCAGGACCTGAGCCCAGGACCGTTCTCATGTGAGTCCAGTTACATTACCACTGTACCACTGCCTCGTCCCCAAATGTATGCTATTTTAAACATTGCTGCATTGACTCTTTTTACACCTCTACCTGTGTGCATGTGCTGGAGTTTCTCTAGAAATACATACTGTGAGTGGATGCATTTAAAGTCGTATTAGATATTAGCAAGATTTTCACATGAGTTCTACCAATGACAACTGTGACATGAATTTCTTGTCTGTCTACATCTTTTTCACATATGGTATCGTCAGTGTAGTGAACATTTGTCATCCTTTTTGGCTACCCTGGATCCTGAACATCCTTCCTGTATTTGGAGACTCTCCAGCTCCACGTTCTCACCTCCCTTACAGACGGCAGACACTGTACTCTCTTTCACAACGTTGCTAGCCTTTGCCAATCAGATTCACCCAAACCATATCATGAATGGAAAAACCAGAGGCAACAAAATAAAGATTCTGGAATTGATGCTGTATTGGCGATGCAATGGGCAATATTCAGGATTTCTGATGGTTATGGAGGTTCTGTGGCCTAGAGTGGTGATTTGGGGCATGGCTCCTGTTTCTCCCATAGACTGGTGAGTTTTTTGTCAGAATGTGACTCTGAAAAGGCCAAACTTGGGAAACAGGCTGCCTATGGTTTAAGCCATCGTTTCTTGACAAACTAGCTGTATAACCCTGGGCAAATAAACCTGTAGAGCCTCAGCTTGTTCCTCTACAATGTGTGGGAGCTAATTACACCTATTTTATAGGGCGTTGTCAGGATTAATCAAATGCCTATAAAGCATTTAGAACACGGTCAGCAATCAGAAAATGTTAGCTACTGTAATTTAGTATTCTTTTTCTGCCTTAACTGTGCTTGGTTTTAGTTTGTAAGGCAGAACCAGGACAGGCCCATTCAGATGTTTCTGTTTTCCTAATCTAATGAATGGGAAGTGGTGTTTTATGGTTTTATTGCATTTCCTTCAATACCAGTGAGCCTAAGCTTTTTTTTTTTTTTCTTATTTTTTACATTCAATCACTGTTTATCTTTACAGCATAGAAAATGAATTTCCCCAGTGTGAATACACTGTATGTTAGTCCAATCAATCGATCATTTGAATATTGTCTTCTGCAAATTGCTCATTAGTAGCTTATGAGCATTTTCTATAGGGTTATTTTTCTTTTCCTTATTGAATTATATCCTGTCTTGATAGATTTTGGATACTAAACCTTTGTTTTATGTGTTGCAAATATCTTCTTCCAGTCTGTCTCTTGCCTTTAACTTTGTTTATGGTGTCTTTTATCATGCTGAAGTTTTAAATTTTCATGTGATCCAATTTATTAGGCTGTTCCTTTATCAGTCAGGTTGTTTTGTGCCGCACTGAAATTCTTTCCTATCCTGAGGTCATAAATATATTATCCTATTTTTTTCTAAGAGGTTTAAAATATTCTTTTTCACATTTCAGTATTGGCACTACATAGAACATGATTTTTACAAATAAATTATGAGAAAAAATTACAGCAATAGTAACTTTCCATTATTTCTCAGCTGATGGCTTATCAAGAATGAGGTCAGCAGAATTGTCTATTCAAAAATTGTGGAGCCATTTCATGAAGATACAGGAAGCTAAGATAGATTATCAGGAAAGATGATAGTGTGAACTAGTGAGTCTAAGTTTTAGAGTCTCACCAAAGTTTCTAATAAACAAGTTCTTTCTTTCTTTCTTTCTTTCTCTCTCTCTTTTTCTTTTTCTTTCTTTCTTTCTTTCTTTCTTTCTTTCTTT